CTCCATAGGTCGGCATCCCGCTCGCCGCGCCGCTCCGGTCCGGGGGGCCCCAGCTCGAAGCTCACCTCCCACTGCAGGCGTTGGCTGTCGCGCAGGCCTTTCACCAGGGCCTTGCCCAGCACCGGGCCAGGGGTGGCGGGCCTGCTGGGACTGGCTCGCTCCTGGGACTCGGCTGGGGCCTCCCAGTCCGAGGATGTCTCTGTCTCGAAGGCAGAGGGGTGGTGGGACGGCTCTGCGGGCAGAGGGACAAGTGGGCCAAGCGCTGACGTGGGGGACAGACGGCTAACTCCCAGGGGGGCAACGTCTCTCCCCAGGGAGCAGACACTTCTAAGCAAGTACAACTCCCTCCATCTCCCCAGGGAACAGACAACTCCAACTGCTTTCCTAGGACAGCTGCGGGGGCATGGGCTTGTCCCCAAGGGAGGACACATCCGCCTCCCAGGAAGCTAGTGCCTGAGGGGGCCAGATAGGATGGGGTGGGACAGGGGCACTGAGAATGGAACTGCACCCTCACAGGTCACTCAAGAACCAGGGTGACTGGGAAGCGTGGGATTGGTGAGGTCCTCAGAAAGGGGTGAGCCGCAGCAGACCCCAAGGGGACAGACCCAGGCATCTGCCCTCTGGGCCTGTCATCTGAAGTTGAACCACAGTCAAGGATTCCTCGCTGTCCCCAGTCAGGTCCTGGATCCTGTGGTCACTTACCTAGATCTCCGGGGCTTCGGCTGTCAGAAGTCCGCTCTCTCACGGGGCTCCAGGCCTGGGTCTCCTGGCCCCAGGGCAGGAAGGACTGGCAGCCTTGGGGCAGCAGAGAGGGCCTTCGGGCCCCTGGGCCACGGAGTTTGGGGCCCTGGTCCAGGTCCTGACCACTGTTCAGCAAGGGCTAGGGAGGGAAGAGGAGAAAGAGAAAGAGGAGGAGGAGAAGGAAGAGGAGGAGGAGGAGGCGGCGGAGGAGGAAGAGCTCCTGGTGGCTGGACTCTCCTTCCTCCGGCTCCCCACCCCCACCCCACCAGCTCTTTCCTGGGGCACAGCAGCTCCTCCTGGGCACTGCCCCTCCAGTACTCAGGGATGCATGACCCAGTCTCCATTATCCATGAGAAACATCAACAATGATAATCCGAAACCATGGAGAAACTCCAAACCGTGGAAAGCCACATAGAAAATAATACACCATGGATAATTCTAAACCCACTTTTTTT